GTACTGGAAGAATTGACCATCTCTTGCATCAATGCTGGTAAATCAAGGTACCTTGCCAATTTAACAATCTTTTTCAATTTTCCAAGATCATCAGCTAGCCCATTAATATTCAAATTATCTCCATATAAATATTCCAAAACTACATCAAAATCAGATCTAACCAAATATGTTCCTTCAGTCAACTCTATTTGCTGACTAATATCTGCCACCTTCGTCATATCAACAACATATTTTCCATCCACAATGGCCACATCACTCGATTGTTCAATCATTCTCCGTATCAATCCACTCCTTTTCACAATAAAATCATGAACCTTATACTCAAACCAAGGAGTTTTGATCATCACATTCGGAGGAACAATTAATGGCTGATTGTCGCTCCTTTGATAAACAACCGATTGAGCATCATCATCTTTGGAACCTCCATTAAGACTACGGAACATATTTAACAAATAATTGGACATGTCCATTTCTTCGAGTTGATTTCGTGGCCAAGCAGAAAGCCAATTAAACCTTTTCGACATTTTTTTCTCTTTTAATTTCCACTTATTTGTTTCCTTTGTAAAATCTTTGCAAAAAATTGTTGGCAATCAAAGATATTGTTTGAACTCAACTTGGAAAGCTCAAGCAGTGAAATGAAACTCTACTCGAAAAAAAACCAAAAAAATACCCGTTCGGCAATTAGCTTATCTTGGAGAGGATCATTGTCATCATTGGCTTTCTACATCATTCATTTATTTGTGCAGCTTGTTATTGTATTATATAAATTGTACATATTCCGAGTGTATATATTTTAATTAGTAATATAAAGATCATCATCATCATGATTGAGCAAGTGATTCAAGTTGCTTCATCATATTGGTATTTAGTATTAGCACCTTTGGGATTATTTAAATATGAAGGAGCAATGACAACTTTTGACTTGTCAATCATGTCAGCCTTTTTCTTATTCTTTTGCCCAGTGGTGTTAATTCCATTGTTATTCTTTGGTGTGAGAGCACCTTATGGAAAGTTTGCTTCTACTAATAGCAATGAAGGAGAATCAGCAGTGAGCAAATGGTGGAGAAGAATATCAAGTAAGACAGATATTGCCTTGAATGGTAGATTTGCATTTGCATTCCAAGAATCATTCGCATTATCTTCCTTCCTCTATGTATTATTAACTTGTGAATG